GCCGGACAGACCGGGTATCTCAGCTAATCTTCAAATAAGGATTATAGTTTAAGATTAGTGTCTTACAAGGGAACTTAGGAGATTTAGATTTGCGCTTTGAGATGAGGCTTTATGGTTCTGTCCTTAGCTGCGGCGCGTTATTCTGAAGCAGTTACGAGTTTTTTCTGCAAGTTGGCGTACTTTTGATATGGGAAAGCTGCTTGTAGATGAAAAGGTGCCTTAAAACGGTGCTGGGATACTAAAATAATATCAGATTGAGTTTTTTGTCATTGACAAGAAGTTTAAGGGGGGCAGCCAACATGAACGATAGTTTGTACCAGCCATATGCGTCGCGTAGGTCAAATATTTTTGAGATTCTATATTTACGCTATGACGACATTTAGAATTTGCAAAAAAAAACCCTAGGAGCTGACGGGCCCTAATCTTTGCTTTTCGACACCGTTTTCAATCCAGTGAAGAGCATACCGTTTCAAAAAATAAGACTTTATTCGCGGGATGTTGACAGCCGCAGGAGTACAGTATGATTATTTCCAGCTATCGTTCATCTTGGCACACACCCAAGTTTAACGCAGTCAATCAGCACTTATTGTTAGATGATGATACCGTAATACCAGCAGGTCAAAGATTATGCATATTTTGCAAAGAATTGATAACTTGCTTCAGAATGATGTGCCGCAGTTAGGAACAACATATTTAGAATCAGCATTCGAAACTAATCCCAAATATATGTGCTTCATCTCAAACGCGAATCTAAGCTACCTGATTTCCCTTGTTAGAAGCAAAGACCACAACGTAGCTGCCAAATTATTATACTGCAATCTGCAGCTGCTGCCATTGCTCTGTGACTTTCTGACTTTTTTGTGAGGATTGCTGTAAACAAATCTCAAGATAGATGGGGGGGGGGAACTACTTATCGATTAGGCTGGAGTTCAAACGGAATCATCCAACGCGCTGTCTTCAACCAAGCAAGGGTATTAGGTGTGTTATCAGCAGGGCCAACCATAAGCTATGGCTAGTTATACCTGCGGGGTCCTATCAAGTGCTCGGAAAGAGAAGAGGGTCGTAATGGAGATGATAACGATATCGATACCATAATTTTCGTTAGAATGAGCTCATTATGCAAATATTAGGTCATTCCGAAAGTAATTTCGCTTTTTTCAAACGGGCGCCACATTTGATGGAACAAAGGTTTTTGAGAGATCTTGGATGCATTCGATGCAGAATTTCATTCTCTTTTTAAAGGTTATGAAATTGTTGCAAAACAGTCAATGAGCTTTCAGAAAATAACCAAAATCCACGACCCATGCTTTTTGAGATGGTCAAGTTTCACGATTTTTTAAAACTTTCATATCAATCCTCAGAAGGAGTTCAAGTAATGATTCGATAGAGTAAACCTTATAAAATACAGAACTGCTTTTTTCCCTTTTTCATATCTTGTCGTACATTTTTAACAGAATTTTAACTGATGCTACCGATTTCCATACTTGGGCAGCTAAATCCTCGTAGAACATCAAAAGAATAGCAGCTCGCGCACAATTCGATGCAGCATTTTCTCCTCTTTCTAACGGGTGTTTTTTGTTTCCGATTCGTTTAGTTTCCGAGGATAAATCATCATAACCTATTTTTTAGCGAGCCCCAGGCTGTAGCCGAAAAACACGAAATTTGATATTTCGAATCCGTAAACTCTCACTTGCTTTGTAAAATCAATGTTAATTCATAGTATTATCTTGGTAGTCTCAAAATTCGAATAATTATGATGTTTGATGCGATTGTGGCCGATATGGGCCTGCCGAAATCCGATGGTTTTGTCAAAAAATCTTTTAAAAAATTACGGCGAGTTATGAGAAAGAGACAAAAGCAATGCTGTATTCTATAAGGTTTACTCTATCGAATCGTTACTTGAACTCCTTCTGAGGATTGATATGAAAGTTTTAAAAAATCGTGAAACTTGACCATCTCAAAAGCATGGGTCGCAAATTTTGGTTATTTTCTGAAAGCTCATTGACTGTTTTGCAATAGTTTCATAAAATTTAGAAAGAGAATGAAATTCTGCATCGAATGCATCCAAAATCTCTTAAAAACCTTTGCTCTATTAAATGTGGCGTCCGTTTGAAAAAAGCGAAATTACTTTCGGAATCACCTAATACTACACATACTGGCTTGCCATCGTACATACGGTAAGCGCTATAAAGAAGCCATGCCGAGCAGATTGATTGTCGTTTCTGTATTATGATTAGCATATCATAACAAGTCTTAAAGAGCTCTAGAGTTTCCATATACTAGGTCACCCAAGTGAAATGGTCTCGAAAATGACTACTTGTTTCAAAAGGCAAAAATAGCTATCCTCTTTGCTCCTAAATAAGGCACCTTCTTCGAAAAGCCAGCCAAAATCTAGTTTGTTTCTATCTTCGCTTGCAATGATTGTGCTTCCAGAAACTGACTCGGTTTGAAAAAACGGATCAAGTCCAGATCACTCTTATGAAGACTACGAGAATTCCGAAAAAATATTTTTATTAAAAAAATTCTTAAATATTTTTTTATCCAAAGTCCGGACAACCTTTACTCCTCCCCACTCCTCCCTAGTTATCACTGTGTGATAGGTGAATTACCCTTTTGAGCAAAGTAATTAAAGATTTCTAAATTAACTCGCAGTCACAACAAATGTCTTGAGCAGTGTTGCAGATAGCAGCTTGTTGAAGTTTTAGGGTTAGAACCTCCTCATGCTTTTTTTACTCGGACTCGTAGGGCAACCTTCAGCAACAGTTTTGTTTCGACTCTATTTACAAACTTCTTCCAGTTTGTAACGGCCTCATTTTCACTTGTAACCGCTTGAAACCGTGGAATTTCAAGTAGCCTCTAGATGTCGATACTTTCTATTTCCATTTCCCTTGATCTCGAAAACCGAACAGTTCGTGTATATTCGTAGGGGCTATTTAGATTTTAAATGTACCTACCACATTGAAAACGAAAATTATGGAATTTGCTGTGAATTTCTTGTCAATCTGGCAGTTGCATTTTGTTTCGGACAAGAAATAGTAACCAACGCTTAAGATAAAAAATTGTTGAGTCATAAAATATATTCATTTGAAGCGTGTTGCGGATACGATGGAATGTGCACCGTAGAATTTATTCGCGAATTTTACGATTATGTTAATTATGATCTAAATTGCTTTTTGGTCTATCTGATGTCAAGGGTCTGGTGGACGATTCACTTTGATAAAGGAAGATCCCAAGGTCATGTATAGAACTATCCGTGTCCCCATCATTTTATCACGATTAAGACTCTATGGAACTAACCTGCTTATTTTTGGCAGTCTCAACCATCTGCCCAAACAGAAAAACGAAGCAAAGTAACTCCAAACCAAACGTGAAGCGCATGCTGTAAACAAAAATTTTCGACTAAGTTTATATACTCTTCTTCCAATATTCATGCAATACCATGAAACTTTTCATTTCTCACGAGTTTTCAGTAATTCTTAGTAAGTGAAGTTATGTTTTTCCACATCGAAACTCTTATCTCCTCCCTTTTTGATTTTTTCGAAAGTTCAATTTCATGTATCTACTGAAAAAAAACAACTCGTTGCTATGTTTTCGCGACAAGCATATGCTTATATCACTCCTTGCTGTTCTAGCGGTAATTTGACCTTACACTAATGCGTTGAATGCCCACCACTTAGGCAATATGTACATGTATTAGGTCGTCTCGAAAGTACTTACGTTATTTTGAACAACACACCTTTAGCAGAACAAAGACTTCTGAAAAGTACTGGTAGCATACTTTGAATGCATTTTTTCGGCTGCATTCATACTGATTACGAAATCCGGGAACAGTTCCAGCAGTGCTCGAACTAAGCGTTGTGCTGGGACTGTTCCCGGATTTCGTAATCAGTATGAACGCAGCCTTCATGTCCTTTTAGATCTTATATATCTTTGTAGTGTGACGAAAGAGTCTCAGAAAATTACTAAGGTAACGCGTCCTATGGTTTTTGCAATGGTCAAGTTTCGCTTTTTTTGCGAGTTTTCATGCCGATTCCCGAAGAAATCTAAATAACTAATAGCGCAATTCTACAAAGCAAAACAAACTCTGTCGTTTTATAGCTTGCGTTTTGAAAGTTCCAAAGTCATTTTCCTGATTTTATCAAACTCCATATCTGGTCAACTCAAACCTCATGTATCATCAACCGGACGGCAACTCGAGTGTCATCACTCAACCCAGCTTCTTCTTATTTTTCTGACAACTTTTTCTTTCAGAATATCCATGTTTTCGGGGAAGAAATCGTCATAGTTCATTTTTTGAATGCGTACCAGGCTGTATCTTGAAAATCTAGGATTTGATATTTTGTGTCCATAAACACTCAATTGCTTTGCAATACTAGGGTTGATCAACGACTTATTTGTGAGACCTTCAAAGTCTGATTTTTTGATGTTTGAGAGCGTGGGTCTAAGGTAGACCTTCTAAATTTGAACTCAAAAACCTAGAACTAGAGCAAAACTAGCAGCAAACTAAAATTGGAATTCAAAATGGGTTGCAGATTTTGCTATTTTTTCAAGACGTTATTGACTGTGCTGCGATGGCTTTATAACCATTAAAAGAAAGATAAATGCTTCAATAAATGCTACCACGATCTCCCATAAATTTTTGTTCCATCAAATTTGACGTCCGTTCGGAAAAGCGAAATTACTTCCGGAGCGACCTAATCATTACTATAATTTTTGATTTTCTTATTTTTATGGAAGTTTGAACGTAGAGATGAAAGTAAAAATAACGCATTTATTGAGGTGATTAAATAGAACCTGCTCAAAAGATGAAATCTTTGAACAAAGCGTGTACACAAAAATCCGAGAATTCAGGAATACAGTTCACAATCTAAGGAAAAGTACCATTACATGTTTTGGCCACAGGTCACACAGTGAATGCTATTTAAAGTGACAAAAATAGTATAGCGATTGAGATACTCTGATGGAAAGCTCAAAGTCGATATGATTCTTCTACTTTGTATCTAGATTTTAGATGGAGCAGCCATGATTGGAATGTTTCTCCTATTTGGTCTTTCCGCGTCCGTCTTAGGAGCTTGAACGCAAAGGTGTCCCTTGTCGCTTAGCTGCGTACGCACTGAATCCAAATCTACGGTTTTCGGAAGTGTCCATTTGCGGATGAACGATCTGCAATAAAAATTTGAGATAAGAAATTTCTAGAGGAAGAGAGAATTATTCACCGATTTTTAAAAGGAGCTTAGACGCGAATAAAGTAAAAAGCGAACAAATTTCTTACCTGTGAATGAAGCTGTGTTCACCCTTGTGCTCCTGCTTTCCTTCTACAGTAAGTTCTCTGCCATCGATGTGCACCTTTAAGTCTTCTGGACGGAACTGTGAAACATCCAGTGAAACAGCAAATTTCTTGTCGTCGTCGATCACCTAAACCAGTCCCATCAAATTTTGAAATTAATTCAAAGAGACCACGGAATGTACCTGTTGCGTATCATTGCCAACATGCAGCATAGAATGATCGGCATTCCTCCAGTATGGGAAAATGCTACGATCTATCTCGTGGATGTAATCGTTCACGAGACGATCCATCATGCGAGGAACTTGCCAAAGCGAGAGCGACATAGCGGTAGAGTCACGAACAGAATGAGTTGCTGCTTGGGTATACGGCCACTCTTATATAAGCGGATCGCTGACCCGGCCGCGATTATTCGCGAATGTTCCGGAGGAGGCGCTCTGCGAACTCTCGTAAACAACGGCATGGCCGCCTCCGTCGCGAATTTTCTTCTGAGATATCGCAGCTCACTGGCTCCGAATGTAGCAGAACATACCGTCGTAAGTGGTAAAGGAAACGTAGCTAGATTGATACTCGAAGATACATAATTTCTTATCTGACTTTGTGTACTGTTGCGTTTAACATAATTCGAAAACCGAAGGCGATCTGAGAAATTCAAAGAGAAGGGATTCCTTTTTGAGTTTACTCTGAGAAATTATAGGGATGCTTCCCAGATTTTTCGCGGGTTCACTATTGCGCTATTGAAAAATGGAGGGCCGTGAAATTTTTTCCAGTGATTATATTTCCAAATTTTTTAGAAATTGCTGTGGTTTTTTACGCGTAAAACAAATTAATTGCATGTAAGCTACATCCAGCAATTTCGTCATAGTAGAGCCCAAATTTTTATAAATCACTGAATTATTTCAATTTAATCTTAGTCAGTAAATAAGGTCCTCAATGCTCAGTCGACGGCTTTTTTACACTTGAATTATACAGATAGAATTGTTGCTAAAAATGGCAAACGCACTTATTTTACCTTGAAAACCCGCTTTTCTTGAGAACAACCATGCACAGCTTGCTATGCATTGTGGAAAAAATGTACAAGATATTCTCTTGACATCCGTTTGGGAAATTCACATGCCTGAAAGCGCGAAGATCTTTTTTTAGGCTTGCTGCTCATCTCGTTTTACGTCTAGCCGTGTAAAAGCTATTCGATCAGGAAGATTGCATTCCCAAACGCCCAAACCTATTTTTTAGTCGATGCCCTTCAACTTAGTAGTGTGTATCTATAAACGATGTAATCAGCATTTTTATACAATGTCACTGCTCCAAGAAATTGTCTTTTTCTCAAAATTTACATGCTCTGCGGCTTTCTATTTAATGTCAGAAGAATTAACTCGAATATGTTATCATGACTATGACAATGTTATCATACCATTTCCTTTGTAGAACAGCTCGGCGCACGCCTTGCTGTTCTACAAAGGAAATGGTATGATAACATTGTCATAGTCATGATAACATATTCGAGTTAATTCTTCTGACATTAAATAGAAAGCCGCAGAGCATGTAAATTTTGAGAAAAAGACAATTTCTTGGAGCAGTGACATTGTATAAAAATGCTGATTACATCGTTTATAGATACACACTACTAAGTTGAAGGGCATCGACTAAAAAATAGGTTTGGGCGTTTGGGAATGCAATCTTCCTGATCGAATAGCTTTTACACGGCTAGACGTAAAACGAGATGAGCAGCAAGCCTAAAAAAAGATCTTCGCGCTTTCAGGCATGTGAATTTCCCAAACGGATGTCAAGAGAATATCTTGTACATTTTTTCCACAATGCATAGCAAGCTGTGCATGGTTGTTCTCAAGAAAAGCGGGTTTTCAAGGTAAAATAAGTGCGTTTGCCATTTTTAGCAACAATTCTATCTGTATAATTCAAGTGTAAAAAAGCCGTCGACTGAGCATTGAGGACCTTATTTACTGACTAAGATTAAATTGAAATAATTCAGTGATTTATAAAAATTTGGGCTCTACTATGACGAAATTGCTGGATGTAGCTTACATGCAATTAATTTGTTTTACGCGTAAAAAACCACAGCAATTTCTAAAAAATTTGGAAATATAATCACTGGAAAAAATTTCACGGCCCTCCATTTTTCAATAGCGCAATAGTGAACCCGCGAAAAATCTGGGAAGCATCCCTATAATTTCTCAGAGTAAACTCAAAAAGGAATCCCTTCTCTTTGAATTTCTCAGATCGCCTTCGGTTTTCGAATTATGTTAAACGCAACAGTACACAAAGTCAGATAAGAAATTATGTATCTTCGAGTATCAATCTAGCTACGTTTCCTTTACCACTTACGACGGTATGTTCTGCTACATTCGGAGCCAGTGAGCTGCGATATCTCAGAAGAAAATTCGCGACGGAGGCGGCCATGCCGTTGTTTACGAGAGTTCGCAGAGCGCCTCCTCCGGAACATTCGCGAATAATCGCGGCCGGGTCAGCGATCCCCTTATATAAGAGTGGCCGTATACCCAAGCAGCAACTCATTCTGTTCGTGACTCTACCGCTATGTCGCTCTCGCTTTGGCAAGTTCCTCGCATGATGGATCGTCTCGTGAACGATTACATCCACGAGATAGATCGTAGCATTTTCCCATACTGGAGGAATGCCGATCATTCTATGCTGCATGTTGGCAATGATACGCAACAGGTACATTCCGTGGTCTCTTTGAATTAATTTCAAAATTTGATGGGACTGGTTTAGGTGATCGACGACGACAAGAAATTTGCTGTTTCACTGGATGTTTCACAGTTCCGTCCAGAAGACTTAAAGGTGCACATCGATGGCAGAGAACTTACTGTAGAAGGAAAGCAGGAGCACAAGGGTGAACACAGCTTCATTCACAGGTAAGAAATTTGTTCGCTTTTTACTTTATTCGCGTCTAAGCTCCTTTTAAAAATCGGTGAATAATTCTCTCTTCCTCTAGAAATTTCTTATCTCAAATTTTTATTGCAGATCGTTCATCCGCAAATGGACACTTCCGAAAACCGTAGATTTGGATTCAGTGCGTACGCAGCTAAGCGACAAGGGACACCTTTGCGTTCAAGCTCCTAAGACGGACGCGGAAAGACCAAATAGGAGAAACATTCCAATCATGGCTGCTCCATCTAAAATCTAGATACAAAGTAGAAGAATCATATCGACTTTGAGCTTTCCATCAGAGTATCTCAATCGTTATACTATTTTTGTCACTTTAAATAGCATTCACTGTGTGACCTGTGGCCAAAACATGTAATGGTACTTTTCCTTAGATTGTGAACTGTATTCCTGAATTCTCGGATTTTTGTGTACACGCTTTGTTCAAAGATTTCATCTTTTGAGCAGGTTCTATTTAATCACCTCAATATCATATGTTTTATTAGCTCGTTTATTATGGCTTTATTTATAGAATTTTTGGTGTATCGTTAATGTACGAATAAATATGTACTGCTAAATACCATTGACAGTAGTTACAGACATAATTACAGCTTGCGAACGGTGAAAAAATCAAAATCATGTGGAGAAGAGAAGAAAAGGTCTCCAAATCAAAAACGGTGTCTTTTGCGTCGTACGGTACAGAAATAAACAAATCACTACAACGTACATACATGAAGGAAAATTCTGCAATAATTCTGACCTCATGCAGCAGAATTTCTTCTAAGTCTTTATTCAGCTTTTTGCTAGACAGAACGGAATAGCCAATATTTCTGAAACACATCTGTGTATCAGTGGCTCCTCCCTCCCCCCCCCCGAGAATGGGTCGAGATATTTTTGCAAGTTACTTACATGGGTTATAAAAATGTACAAATGACTTGTTTATACTTATATATGATTAAAATAATTTTGAAATCTTCTAAATATTTAATTCACCTTATAAGAAATTTTCTTCCGGGGGCATGGCTGACATCACATCCTCCTTTTTTGAGATTTCGGGGTTATGGGCCCTCAAAAATTCTGGGAAACATACCAAAAATTTTTTGGAGTGCATGGCTGACGCCACTCACCTTCATCAGAAAAAAATTTTTGTTCCCTCCTCCCCGAACGAAAATCCTGGGTACACCATTGTCGTGTATAGATACAACATATAGCTAGTATTGAAAGAAGGTGGAGGATGTTTATTGATACCATTTCCTTCTAATCCGGCGGTAAATGATTTCCCGACTTCGGCTTTCTTTTAAAGCAGACTGGGTTCTAAGCTAAGTTAATCTAAGCTTTTCCTCGACCTTGGAAGATATCGTGATGTTGGTTACTTTTCTTGTCTCAACCTTCCAACAAATTCATCAGTGTTACGGTTTCTGTACCGTGGATCCTTGCACCGTGTCCACAGCTGCTACTGTATGAAACACTTTACTAGCAAGTGCAAGGCTCACACCTTGTCAATCAAAGGCTTACGGTAACGCACTTCGTATCTCTCGTTAAAAGTTGCCTGCTACCTCTTCCTTCTGGGTAGGCTCCGTCTTCCATGTGGTCGCGGCAGATTCAATTTTGTGGAAATTTGCTAGACTTGCAAATGATATTAATGTAAAGGTAAAGAAAACATTTGGTGCTATTAGTCCAGATATCTCCCAAAATCATATAAATTTGCTCTAGGTCTTCTCGATCTGATATAATAGCGGAAAATTTCCTTTTTGCTAGCTGAGCAGAATCTAACCAGGAAAGAATCAAAAGTCGCGGTGGCCATCTGGAGCAAAGTACATATCACTAGTTCGTCTTGTTGAGCTGTTCCAAATCTCCTTCCTTACCTTCTGCTCGTTCTAGAAGAAATTAGCGAATAAAAGTGTGAAGTTATTAGGATTCTATGCATAATGTAAAACTAGCTTCAAAACCATAATCAACATAATGTTGGGACTAGAAGGGCATACGTACGGCAACACAGTTGAGTGTTTTTGAACAATTATTCCTAAAGTTGTTTGAATGTTTGAAGTTCTTCTAGAGAGTAGTGCAGCAGATGCGAGATTAGATTCGGAATCAGCTCAAAGATGCATCTGATGATACGCATTTTGTTTCAAATGGTCACAGCAACCTAACCTCCGTAAAAAGGCAGTATTTACGTAGTTTATATTTCGTTGGCGCCCTAAGTTCCTCTCTTAAGCTTTGTTGCAGGAGCTGCAAAAATTTTTGTTTACACTCTATCGCGAGGTATGGAACGTGGAACGCGAAGGATCGGTGAACCCCATCTAGAGGCGATTCAGTCATCATAAGTCCAGCGTTTTTGCCCAATTAGCTTTCCCCCAGGAAAATTCACGACCACAACTTTAAAGCAACTCTCACAGACAACAAGCTTGTTGTTCTATAAGATAGAAGC